TTTTAGTTTAGGTTTGTCCATGTCATTATGGACTTAAGTCTATTTATTTGCCACATATGCAAAAAGAGACCCAAAGCATTGTGGATGCTCTTATCTAAACCTACCCAAATATTTAAAAACTTGGTGAAATCAATTGAAAATAAAAAAATTAATCAAGGAATAATAAAAATATTAAAATTATTCCAAAAAAAAAGAAATTCGAAATCACCAACCACCCACCCCGCGTAGGCACGACTGAGCAGTGATCAAAAATACATTGAAAGGCAAAGCTTGTGACACAAGCCAAATTTCGTCCTCCTCTTCCTTTGATTTCGATTTTTATTTTTTTGTTTTTAAATTCGATTTTTTCTGGGTAGATTTTTCAGATTTGGGGATAATTAAGAGGCAGATTGATGGGTGATTGAGTGCAGTCGGACTGAAATTCTCGTTTCGCGTTCGAATCCGGCCGTGGTGGTTTTCATGAAAACGCCGTCGTTCAGGAGCAGCGGCTCCTGCTGCGAGTTCCCGCCGGCGCCTGGGGGAGCAATGTTGCCGGTCTACCTCAACGACCTGAGGAGGAACGCTGCAGGCGGCGGCGAGGAGATGGTTGAGGTGACGCTCGAGCTGGACGGCGGCTCGGTCGTGCTGTGCGGAGTCGCGCCAGCGGAGGGAGAGGCGATGCCGGCGCCGGCGGGAGGGGATTTCCTGTCTCGGAGCGCGTCGGCGGCGTCGAGGCTGCGGCGGATGTTCTCGCGGCGGTGGGCGGCGGAGGAGGAGGAGCAGCGGCACGAGGCGGCGGTGGATTCGGCGAGGGAGGCGATGCGGGCGAGGGTGAGGATGATGAGGGACAGGTCGGGGGCGCAGAGGGCGCTGGGAGGGCTGAGGTTCATAAGCAGGAGCGGCGCCGCCTCCGGCGGCGGCGATTCGAGCCCCGAGGCGGCGTGGAGGGAGGTGGAGAGGAGGTTCGACGCGCTGGCGGAGGGCGGGCTGCTTTCCCGGCAGGATTTCGGCGAATGCATCGGTGAGTGGGAATTGGAAAAAAATAAAATTAAATAAAATACATGAAATTGTTGAAATAATTAACCAATAATGGAGAAAGAAATCGAATGTGTCTGTTTAATTGCTTTTGTGTGTGTGTGTGTGTGTGTTTAATTGCTTTTGTGTGTGTGTGTGTGTGTGTTTAATTGCTTTTGTGTGTGTGTG